AAAAAAAAAGAGAGATGGGGGATGGCAAAAGATCTAAATAGGCTTTTCTCAAAAGAAGACATACAAATGGCCAACGAGTACATGAAAAAATGTTGAACATCACTTATCATCAGAGAAATGCAAATCAAAACTACAATGAGATATCATCTCACCCCAGTTAAAATAGCTTTTATCTGAAAGACAGGGAATAAAGAATGCTGGTGAGGATGTGGAGAAAGGGGAACCCTCATGTGCCGTTGGTGGGAATGTAAATTAGTGCAGTCACTGGGGAGAACAGTATGGAGGTTCTCACAAAACTGAAACTAGAACTGCCATATGATCCAGCAATCCCACTGCTGGGTATATATCCAAAAGAAAGAAAATCAATATCTTGAAGAAATATCTGCACTCCCATATTTATTGCAGCACTATTCACAATAGCCAAGGTATGGAATCAACATAAGTGTCCATGGATTAATGGATAAAGAAAATGTGGAACATATACACAATGGAATCTTATTCAGCCATAAAAAGGAATGAAATCCTATCATTTGCAACAACATGGGTAGAACTAGAGGACACTATGTTAAGTGAAATAAGTCAGGCAGAGACAGACAGACAAATATCGCATGTTCTCACTCATATGTGAGAGCTAAAAAAAAAAATAAGTTGAGCTCATGGAGATAGAGAGTGGAATGATGGTTACCAGAGGCTGGGAAGGATCGCAAAGAGGGGGATAAAGAGAGGATAGTTAAAGGGTACAAAAATACAGTTGTATAGAATGAATAGGATCTAGTAGGCAATAGCACAGTAGGGTGACTACAGTTAACAACAATTTATTGTATATTTTATAATAACTAAAAGAGTGGAATTGGAATGTTCGTAATACAAAGAAATGATCAATTCTTGAGGTGATGGATAACCCCATTACCCTGCTTTGATCACCACACACCATATACCTGTATCAAAACATCACATATACCCTAAAAATATGTACAACTATTTTATATCCATGATAATTTATAAATTTTCAAAAAAGAGACAAGCAAAGTTTAAAAAATAAGTTTCCTCAAGAGCAACCTTATTATCTTAATCAGGTCTAAAGCTGACTTCTTCTTTGGTCCCGGGGAGAATTTCTCTCTGAGGACAGAGTTCTCCTGATTTAGCTTAGGACCCCTTTCTTTCTAACCTGACAACTAACTGAATTACCATGGAGCTAGAAAAAGCCAGAGTCGGGAGGCCCAGATTCTAATCACTGCGTCGCCTCAGACAGGTCACTCCACGTCTCCGGACTTGTAGTTCCTCAGCTGTGGCATGAGGGGATTAGGCTCTGTGGCTCCTGCTTGGAGGCTTGAGATGGGATAACCCAGCCAGTCTGCCCCTCAGGAGTTGGCAACACACAGTGGCCCTGGTGACAGTGCCTCAGGCCACAAGATAGTCTTCCTTAGGCTCATGTGTGGCAAGGGAGAACATGCCAGGGTCTCTTGGAAATGGTCTGAGGGTGCTGTGAGTCATGTGGGTTATATTTTCATGACCAACACCAAGTCATCGGTGACCTCCTTAAATGAACAAACACAAAGCTCGATGGGAGCCACCATGGCCGAGAAGGGAGGCGGAGCCCTAGTACAGCCTTCTCGCCTGAAGCTGTCAGGTGATTCTTTCATGAGTGCATCTCTTCTTGTCTTCTAACGCCTATGATTTGTTTCCTTAGGACGCTGATGTGCCCCTTCCTCCCTCTCCCCCAGTTCTATGACATTGCCTGAGAATGCCCCAGAGCCTTACCTTTGACCTCCCTGTAGCTATTTTATCACCAAAGCCCGAAGGGACCCACCCACCAGTGGAAGGCCTTGTTTCCATTCCAGTACACCTGAGGCCCCTGTTCCACACCCATCAGTAACGCCTTGTAAGACAGTGGTTCTATGTGAAGAGCATGTCCTCTTGGGTGGATGGAGGGGGGAAGCAAATCAGAAGCTGCAGAGGGGCCTTTTCAAACCACAGGAGCACCACTCACATACAGATTCTGACATGCTCCCCCAGGAAGATGTTCCCCTCTCTGCCACATTGAGAATCACTGCCCAGAGCTGTGTTCTTCTTTGAAATATTTCCTTTAGCAGTGCTGTCCCTGGATCTTGGACATAGTCAGACATGGAAGGAGTGATGCAGGAAGCCAGGCCCACGGAGTGATCCCTGAGTAAGGGGCAAAAGGTTTACATCCACGTCCTGCCAAAGCCTGCAGGAGGTGGGAGCTGGAACAGTGAGAAGGAGAGAAGTGTTCGCTCGCTGTCTCCCACATACCGTGTGGCATTTCACCGTGGGAAGCAGAGTGAAGACAAGCTTGATTTGGTAGATCCATCTTAATTATTGCCTCTACATGATGTCTTTCAGCCTTCAGTTTTTCTTAGCAAACACTGGGGCAGAGTGGGGTTGGTGGGAGAATGGGGAAGGTTCTTGGTAACTTCCAGACTAAGCTACTCACCTTCCCTTTGGTTTGAGGAAGGCATTCCATCCTGATGTGCATACTAGGATGCTTTTGAATTTCCTTAGGTCAGTGTTTCTTAAACTTAATCTATATACAGATCACCTGGAGATCTTGTTAAAAGATGCAGATGTAGGTGCAGGAAGGGCCTAATATTCTGTGTCTCTGTGAGCTCCCAAGTGATGCTGCTACTTCTTTTTTTTTTTTTTTTTTTTTTTGAGACAGAGTCTCACTGTATTGCCTGGGCTAGAGTGCCGTGGCGTCATCCTAGCTCACAGCAACCTCAAACTCCTGGGCTCAAGCGATCCTCCTGCCTCAGCCTCCCGAGTAGCTGGGACTACAGGCATACGCCACCATGCCCGACTAATTTTTTCTATATATTTTTAGTTGTCCAATTAATTTCTTTCTAATTTTAGTAGAGACGGGGTCTCGCTCTTGCTCAGGCTGTTTTCGAACTCCTGAGCTCAAACAATCCGCCCGGCCTCGCAGAGAACTAGGATTACAGGCGTGAGCCACCGCTGCTACTTCTTATATGTGGGCTGCACTTTGAGTAGCAAGGCCTGAGGAGAGAAGAAGCTTGACTGTGCCTTCATTTCTGTGCCTTAGTTACTTGACTGTCCAAGCTCAAGGCTCTCAGAGTTACTGCTGGTACCCCGCCTACCCCTCCTAAACATTGCATTGTCGTTGGGCCTCTTACTTACTTTGGGGCACGATCAAATGGACATGGAATACTCTGTTTTATTCTTCAGCCTGAAAACAAAAGCAGTGGAAACCTCCAGTTGTCCAGGGAGGGGCCAATTTCTTTTTGTTTCAGACTGATGGAATTTAAGGGAATTTTACAACATTTTCATGACTCCCCCAGGGATGCTGTAGTTATCTATGACTGTCTAGCAAAATACTGCAAAACTTAGCTTAAAATAGCAAGTATTTCTTCTCTCAGAGTTTCTATAGGTCAGGAATTCAGGAGCAGCTTCACTGGGTGGTTCTGGCTCAGGGTGAATCATGAGGCTGCAGTCAGGAGGTTGGCCTGGGCCACAGTCATCTGGAGGCTTGACTGGGATTCACTTCCAAGATGGTGCACTCACATGGCTATTGGCAGGAAGCCTCAGTTCCTTGCTGGCTATTGGCAAAAGGCCTCAGTTCCTCACCTCACGGACCTTTCCATGGGGCTGCTTAATCAACTTCAAGCAGAGTATGTGGTCCAAGAGAAAGGGAACAAGAAGGAAGCTGTTAATGACTGTATGACCTGGTCTCAGAAGTCAGACACTGTCACTTCTGTTTTATTCTATTCTTAGAAGTGAATCACTAAGCCCAAGCCACGCTCAAAGGGAAGGAATTAAGCTCCACCTCATGAAATGAAGAGTATCAAAGCATTTGAGGACATATTTTTAAACCATCACAGATGCTCCCTGGCTAAGGAGCCATTGTGGTAGGCGACCCTCTCAAAGGTTTGGTGCTCCTCATAATCTCACGAAGCTGCTCTACTTAGGAGACCTGTAAGACTTTGAGCATCAAAGACCACACTCCTTGCAAAGACATTTCAAAATGGAAAGTTATCAATTCCATTCCACTGTGATGGGGTCCATCCAACTCTTTGTGAACCTACGAAGCAGTGACAGTGCAAGGAGGGCAGTATAACTCAGTGATTAAGAGCCAAGTTCAGGAGTCCGACATTCCCGAATTTGAATCCTGGCTCTGCCATTTAGTTGTATGTCCGTGATAAAATCACTGGAGACTCAGCTTCTTTATCTGGAAAAATGGGGATCATAATAGTACCTATCTCGAAGTGTTATGTGAGAATTAAATGAGATACTGCACGTAAAGGTAACACCTGGCCTGGCAGATAGTGAGTGCTCAGTACATGTCAGCTACTGTTAGCTCTTGTTCTTGATATCCTGTTTCCACCTGGAGCTGGAGGCTCTGTACATTCGAAGAGATGCTGGCCACAGGTTTCTGCTTCATTTTTGTGCTTCCTTCACCAGTGCCTCTTCTTATACTTCATTCAAATTCAGAGAGGTCTGGTTGACCTCTGCTGATTGCAGGCTCTTCCCACATATGGACAGGTTCTCTTGGAAAGTCAAGGCCGAACTCTTCCCTGGGCTAGTTCCTCCACCTGTGTTCTACTTCTTAAAAGAAGGAGCATCAGCCAGAGTCCAGGGCGGGGACAGGCCCAGTTTGCCCCATGCCTGATGGCATAGTTTTCTTTTTTGGCACTGGATTGACTAGGGCTGGCTCCCTCCAAACCCGGCCCGGGAGTAGGGTGCAGGAGACGATGTTTTCACCAGGCGACAGCCATTTCCGTTTTGAGCTACGGAAGGAAACTGACGTGTTGTTTTGAATCGAACCTCAACAAGGCAAAGTACTTGAAAGAGTCTCCAGGGAAATGGAAAATGTATTTGTTCTGTGGTATGTTTTGAGTTTTGGGGTTTTTTTTTAATGTAGTAAAAGTATCCTGACAAATATTTTGATAGGCTTACATTACATATTTGTGTCTTTAAAGCAATCAAAGAAATCCTTTATAATTCATTCTCTGTTTTCTCTCCAGGTATTTAGTCTTCCTACAGATCAAAAGAGATCTCTACCATGGCCGCCTCCTCTGTAAAACGTCGGATGCTGCCTTGTTAGCAGCTTATATCCTTCAAGGTAATGACTTTTGACAGGATAAATTTGCTTTTCGTGCTAAGTACTGATGCCATTATTTCAGTTACCACAGATGACTACTTCTTGGATCTAAACAGTGTCTAACTTGAAGCAGAGTTCAAGTTAGAGGATTTTGCTTAGATTTCCTAGAGCCAGAAACCACCAAACACTCAATCCTAAATGGTACCTAAGGTCTCACCACCAGCCCCTTCAAGTCATTCTGACTCTGGGGGATTCTCCCTGTGCCCTTGGTTGATAAAGTTACTGGGACTCTGGAGAATAATTGGAATCATTTTTTTTCCTATCCTCTCATGCAATCTCTAAGATACAAAGCATCTTGGAATTCTGGAATCTATTTCAGAGAACTTTTAGTTCAGAGTGCTTAAAGTTGAAAGTGTTTCCAAGTAACAAGCACATTTCCTAACACGCTAATAAGAGTAATAGCTGAGTCTTACCCAGCTGATACCCAGATTGGCTTTTTGTGCAAAACAATGGGAGAGAGATGCACCCTTAACATATGTCTCCTCCTCCTGAAATGCAGGACACACATAAGTGCCACTTCCCAGGTTTCTCTCAGTCCTTAGGCCTGAAACTGCCATTACTACCATAGCAATAAAATCATGAAGCTTCCATGAAAGAATATGAACTCTTAATTGGAAATCTCTGAACTCCCAGAAGCAACTTTGTGAAGAGAACCTGGAAAACGCTTGCCGACAGGAAACTAAAGCCCTTCTGGCAAGAGAAATATCACAGCTGCATACTAAGAATGTAAAATCAGCCCATTGCCACTTTGACTTTTGAGGCTTCCGTTTTAAAAATCACCTAAATGGGAAGTCCAGTGGGTCATTACTAATTTAAAGGTACCTAAAAATGCCACTTTCATTTCTAAAGACAAAGCCTAGCCCGATTTAAGTGACGTTTTAAATTCTAGTCATTCCTTCAGTTTTACCCTGACAATAATTTCTTTTTCTTTAAAGAATTACTTGATGTCCAACATTGATGTTTTCCACTTGAAGCTTCCTAAATAAAATCATAATCAATGACTCTGAGGCTCAAGGTCACCCCATGCTTCAGGCTTGGGGAAGCCTTTAGTCTCTTGCTAAACAATAGAAATCCCCAAGTAATTTAGAAGTCACAGTAAGTAGACTTGTAGTGAAAAAGCATAAGCCACAAATACAATATTCAGCCATGAGAGGAGGGCATGTTTTCCTCTTAATACTTGCTCCTGCCTCAAGACTTCTCCTCTGAAGTGGTTGAGACTGTCACCAGGGAAGAAAAAGGGCAACCACCAGGCAGCTGGACCCTCCTCCTTTCCTTTATCATACCCACCACGTCCCCTGCGGAGTTCTTCCTGGGAGAAAGCTGGAATCCGACCTGGGTGTGGAAAGCACCAGGGGTCCTCTGTCCTCCCAAAGCTCACTGAGCTTAGATCTGCTCAGGTTTAGAGATGAATATTCTCTGTGAATGGCCAGAGGAGAAAGGGCCACACCTGGCAGGGAGTTGAGAAATCAGCCTTAGAACTTGGTGCTTTTGAACTCAATGACACTTTCTGCTCACAGCCAGGCTTCCTGCTCGGCAAGCCTTTCAAAGGGGCCTGGCACCTGGTCAGCTCTTAATGAATATTTATTCAAATTTATTCATTTGATCATATTTGGACTGAGGGTTGAGTTCTGAATTTGGATCATGGCTTAATTCATCAATTTGCTGTGTCCCTGCTAAGATCCTTAAAATGAGGTTTAGATTCTGATCTGGCTCAGGCCCAAGAGCTTCTGTCTTGCTGACCAAGCTCACCGTTTCCTGTGCTGAACAAAGAGCATCACTCCTAGGCCCTCTTCTCGTGGCTGAATGAATGAGAACCGTGGTGCAGGCTTTTGCTCTTTTATTGCAGATTTACTTGTGGTAACCTCAGAACAGAGGGTCAGGTCCACTGTCTCCCTCCATAGACTTGAATGTCAACCCAGTGTGTACACCTGGGAAAACAAAGGTGGACATGCTCCTGCAGGGCGTGCCTTCTGCCCAGCCCTCAGCCGTGCTCAGGATCCACTACTCTCTGTAAATCTGCTGTGTGCTTTGGCTTTTGCTCTGTGTGCTGATCTCTTGTTGCTTTGCCAATGATGATTTACCTATTTCCACACTTGTTTTCTTCTACCTTCCTTTTGAAAGCGGAGATTGGGGATTATGACTCAGGAAAACACCCTGAAGGCTACAGCTCCAAGTTCCAGTTTTTCCCTAAACATTCAGAGAAGCTGGAAAGGAAAATTGCTGAAATTCACAAGACAGAACTCAGGTGCGTGACACCCATTCAGGCCCAGGACACTGTGACTCCCCCACAGCCTGAGCACGCAGGCTCTGTGCTATGTCCTTGCTCTCATAGACCGACCATTTACTGGCCAGAGGGCTGCCCCCCAGCCTTCCCGACACTGAGACGTATCCACTGACAGCATAGCCCCAATCCCCATAGGCTCCCTCTCCAAGAAAAGTGGTTTAGGCTGAGGCTTAAAGGCAAGAGAGAAGTTGTATCATAGGGAAAACAGAGAGAGAGTGGCTTTTGAAAGGTATTTGCTCCACTAAGATATTTAATGAAGACACAGAGGAAAGAAGCATGAACTGGGGAAAAGGAAAAGATAAACACAAAAGAAACAACAGAAGAGAAAAAAGATGAAAGGAAGAGAAGCGGTTAGGTGGGGATGTGGAAAAGGGCAGGCCTCTGCCCCGGCATGTGACAGGTGGCTTCTGGCAAAGGATGGACTGCCCAGCGCTGATTCATGAATGCTGGGAGTGCCCTGAGATCACTTTGGCCTGGGGCTGCGTCTTCAGCACTGTCTAACTCAACCCCCACACACCCTGCCTGGAGTCCCTGACCCTGCACCGAGGAAAGTAGAGGAGAAGGGGCTTCAAGCATGGAGCCTTGTGTCCCTCAGTGGCTTTTAGTTTGCTCAGAATATGCAGAATCCCGTAAAACAGCACCAATGCAGCCTTTCACCCACATGAAATAGAATTTTCTACAAAGACTGATTTTAGAAAACAACAATAGGGTGTTTAGGCTCCACTTGGTGTGGCACACTGGAGCACAGATTGTTCCAGCCTCACCAGGTGCATTGCCTGCTGCTTAAGAAGAAGCCGACGCACTGAGACAGCAGCAGTTACAGCAGAGAAAGAGTTTAATATCGCAGGTGCCGTGCGAGGAGATGGGAGGAAGTTCTCAAACCCATCTTCCTGAGAATTTGGGAGAAAGGGTTTTTAAAGATAGTTTGGTGGGCAAAGGGCTAGGCGATTGGGTCTGCTGATTGGCTGGGTTTGGGTGGAACCACAGGGGTGTAGAAATTGTCTTCTTGTGCTCAATCAGTTCCTGGGTGAGGGTCACAAGACCAGTGGAGTCAGTTCCTTGGGACGGGCCACTGGTCTGGGTGGGTCAGCCAATCCACTGGAATGCAGGACCTGGAAGATATCTCAAAAACTAGCCTTAGGTTTCACAAGGGTGACATTATCTATGGGAGCAAGGAAGAAAGCTAAGGATCTTTATGACCATCAGCAATGTGACTCCTGAGTAGCAATTATAGGAAAACAAGCTGGGGAACAATGGCTGGTTATATATATATTTTAACTATGCCTGTACCTTTGCAGAGTTCAGGCCCCTACCACAGTTCCTACCTTGTGGCCCTTTAATTAATTTTATAAAGGGCGGTTTCAAGATTCCCCAAACTGACAAACTATGAAGAAAAAAAGTATATATAATGAATGCAGTGTTATAAAATATGTCATCATTTTAAAACATTACAATTTTTAAAAAATCTTTTAAAATGTTTGTGTATCTACTGTTCTGAGGAAGGAATATGCCCGGCAGGAGAGGGGGGTGGTGGTGGATATTTCTAATGCTAAGCTTAACTGTTAATAGTTCTAGTTTTTAGTACTAAGCTTAAACTGGTTCCTACCCTGACCTTGACCCTCAAAGCCCTTCACTCAGCGATTTTATCTCAACGAATATAACCGAAGGCCTCCTTAGCCTTTGTAAATAGACCCCTTCCCCACCGTGTGTGGCAGGACGGGTTCCTGGCCCTCCCAGAGGAATGGACGCTTCCCACCGTCTCCGTGCCGCCTTCCCTAGCGCCGAGCCCGCGGCGCCTCCCCCAACTCTCTGTTAGGGAAATAGCGACCCCTTGTGGTGAGGATCAGAATAAACAGACCTGTGTGAGGTCTCATGGTTCCTTCAAAGAAGAGATGAGGGAGGTGCTGGAACTGCCCGGAGGGTTTTAGGCGATGTTAGAATAGTGGGGATAGTCCTCTAGAAACCTAGTTCAAGGCAGGGGACCCCCCAGGAAAGGATGCCTGCTTTGAGGGCCCTGGAGGTTTGGGCAGACTCGAGGGGTGAATGGAGCCCACAGGGCCTGCCACCCCGCAGACAGGGAGTGAGGAAGCTCCCTGGAAAGCGAAGCAGGGCTGTGGCCACCTCTGGTGTCCGGCCGTTTGCCTGCTGCGCACACGCATTTTCCAGGCACCTTCCTGTGTCTCAGGTACGCTGGTGGACGTAGAAGTCTGCATTCACGACAATACCTGCCTGCGCAGGGACTACTTACACAGGTCCGCCTTGTCCTCATAATGTAAAAACGTGTTCGTACGTCCTTTCTCTAACTCTAACGTGAGTTCCTGAGGGCCCAGACTCTGTGCTGTGTGTCTTGGTATATTTTACAGCAAGCAGCACACAGGCCGTCACATAAAGGTGCTGCTTGAGTGATACCTCTCCAGAGGGACGGAGAAGGAATCTGGCCTGCTTCTCACTTGGGTTGGCTTATCTTCCTGCCCTGCCATATTACTTGAGGCAAATGATAAACTTAGAAACGAGCAACCTTCAGTCCCCACCAGCTATCAGAGATGTTGACTTCACAAACTGCCCGGCGCTCTGCATACCACTATCTGTGGAAGTGCATCTGCTTTGCAGGGCGCTGGAGCCATGAGAGAGCCCACTGATGATACCACCACTGGTCCCGCATCAAGCTCATCAGCACACCTGCTAAAGAGGCAGCGGGAAGGGAGTGATGCTACGGGCAGCCTTCTTCAGCTTGTTTCCTTTTCATAGTCATCGCCCTGTGGTGCTTCTCCTCACCCTACGTTCTTGTGTTCCCTTTTGGTAAAGGGAGGGGGCTGGGTGGCATCAGCAAGATATGCAGACCCCTTCTTTGTATTTCAGTCTAGATCAGATCACAGATGAGAAACCTATGGCCTGCATCCAGCCTATAGATGTGGTGTTTTTTTAATCCCCACAGTATTTAAAATTGTGAAATACCACATAAAAATAAGTATCTCTGATTTTTAAAAATCACAACATCTAGCAATGCTGGGCCCTGCATTCTCATATGACAGAAATCTCAGAGCTGAGGAGCAGCTGTGCTTATTAGGTAGGGGGAACATTCCCCACTTTTCCACAGTCCCCACTACTCCCTATTGGCCATACAGCCCAGGGGATTCATTATGTAGCCTGCCTCACTCTGAAGACATTTGAGTTTTTGGCCCTGGGCAGGAGTCTCTGAAGTTGGTCCTAAGACCAAGCAGGGAGCATACCCTATGGAAAAATTGAGCTGTGCGGCTCACCCTGAGCACTTCTTAATAGATCGTTTACCTCAGGGGAACCTGTGGGAACAGGAAACCCTGAAATCATCTCATTTTCTTTATTCCAGTGGTCAAACACCAGCAACATCAGAGCTGAACTTCTTAAGGAAAGCGCAGACTTTGGAAACATATGGAGTAGATCCTCACCCATGTAAGGTAAGAGTCCCAGTGGTCGGAGACTGCGCCAACCTTGCTTCCTCTAGGGGGCGATAGGAGCGAGGGACCACGCGCCTGCACCCATGGGCACCCTTCATGTCTGCAGGACTGGCTCTTCCAGTGACAGATGCCAGAGAAAATGTCTCATTCTGAAAACTCTGCATTCTATGCTGCATGATTTTGTGATGCCACATCAGCGTCAGGATCTGGGGCAAAGTCAATCTAAATAACAAATCCCAAACCGGGCCCCACTTAGGCAGCAGTGGATAATCCGGTAGAAATGAAGACAGGAGGCATGTGGAAGCCCCCACAGGGAATGATCGGAGGCAGCTCAGCGACTGCCCACCCTTCCCTGGCCCATAATCTAGTTTCTTTCCAAGAGTGGGTTTTATTGACTGCGGTGGAGTAAGTCACTGCGTGGAACCACAGTGGAGTCACACTTAATTCCATTACACGCCTGTGAGGGATGGACGGCCACAGCCAGGGAGGCCGTGCCCAGAGAAAACCTCCGTAATCACTCACTTGTGCCTGGCATTTCCGAGATGAGCGCCGGCAGCCACAGTCACCATTGAGGGCAGCGGAGACCCATGGCCTCTTCCTGTCTCTGTGGCTGTGTCCCTCCCCTATCAACTCCTTTCCCTGTTGCTTTGACACTCCTGGTCTCTGCCTCAGTTTCTCCACATTTCTCCTCCCCCTTTCTGTTACTGGAGAGGTTCCAGTACCACCAATAGAAGCAATTGTCAAACTGATCTGAAGGAGATAATATCAGCTGGGAACAGGAAGACATCAATATTTTCTTCCCGACAGGAGGGGGACACTGTAATTTTCAAGCAGAAATTAAAAGAACAGTATATTTGTTTCCTAGGGCGGCTGTAACAAAGTGTCACAGACTAGGTGGCTTAAACGACAGAAGTTTATTGTCTCACGGTTCTGTAGGCAAGAGGTCTGGGATGGAGGTGTCGGCCGGGTTGCTTCCTCCTGAGGGCTTTGAGGGAAGGGTCTGTTCCAGGCCCCTCTCCTCGGTTTGCTGATGGCTGTCTTCTCCCTGTGTCTTCACATCGTCCTCCCTCTGTGGTATCTGTGTCCAAATATCCTCTTCTTTTAAGGACACCAGTTATACTGGATTAGGGCCCGCCCCACTGACTTCAGTTTAACTCAATTACCTCTGTAAAGAGCCTATCTCCAAATAAAGTCACATTCTGAGGTACTGGGGGTTAGGACATCAACATATGAATTTTTGAGGGGGATACAACCTAGCTGATAACAAGTAGAATAGAAACAAATGAGCACGGTGACATGGGGACAAAGCAGTGTTTTTCCCTTGTCCCCTTGGTGAGTTGACGGTGATTTGTTCTTGCCCAGGATTTAACAGGCGTCTTGAGAACATCCTGGCACTCAGAAACCCTGGTCATCTTCTCTACCCACAGCTCCCTGTCCACTAGCTTAGCCCACGGCCAGGTAACCCTGTGTTCTTGGGGCCACGCTGTCAGAAAACACATTGAGGCCTATTTATTCCAAAGAATCGGCACGCAGGTATTTATACATTAGCAAAACTTCCTAAATAATGCCCTCTGCATACAGATGTAGTTTAAACACCCCCGTAAGTTGCGCAGATACTGTGCATAGGGGCCCCACGCAGGAGTGACGAGAGCTTTGGAGTCAGCCAGCCCGAGGCCGCAGTCCTGGTCTCCTATTTACTGGGGCCTTTGGAGGCTTCTCTGAGCCTCCCTTTCCTCACCTGTGTGAAGGTACACAGTGGGTGTTCAGCACCTGTGCTCCCTGAACTGCTGAGGTCCTCCAGGACTCATAGCTGCTGAAGATAGATACGGTCAGCAAAAGGTGCCAGGTCAGCTCTGCGCTTGACCCCAAACCTGCCCAGTCCTCCTGAGGCCAGAGACGGGTCCCCAGGCAGGCCGATGGCACACACAGGTGGGCAGACAGGGAGCCCGAACACAACACCGGCGAGAGGTGGGTGGGGATTTCCACTGTCGCCATGGGTGTCTGGAGGATGGAATGGCAGCCGGCCTGGTTCCAGCCCAAATCCACATGCCCCAGGATGCGGGGCTCCTGGCACAGCCTTGTCTTTGGTGAGTTTGTCCATCATTGGACACAGAGAAGCTGAAGGGACTGCAGGGATGGACCAGCATCCATACCAGGCACTGCGTGCAGCCCAGTCCCAAATATCATCTCATCCCCATGGCATCAGCTCCTGGAAAGAAGGAGGGAGGGAGGGAAAAATGAAGATATGTTTGTGGCGTGCCTCCCATGGCAGGCCTAGGGGACTCCTTTTGTGTTATTTCCTCACGTAGCCCTCATGCCAACAGGGAGGTGGGTGTTACTCTCCCTGTTTTTTATAGATAAGAAGGCTGATGTTCCAGGAGGTCAAAGTTCACAAGGCCCTGGGTGGTACAGCAAGAGTTTGAACTCACATCACTGACAATTGTCATGCACCCTCTGTAGGACAGAAGCCCCTGGGGGGACTTACTCTGGGAAGGTTGGAGTGCTTATCCCATTGGGCCCCCTGTCACTAGGCCTCTGCCTCTTGCTCCCCCAGGCCATGGCAGGGCCCTGCTGAAGACCCCACACACAGCCCCTCAGTTCCTCCCATTAGGCTCTGGCTCTTGGTCTCCTCAGTCCTCCCAAGGAAAGAGAACAGTCTGGGAGCCTTTACTCTTGTCATTAAGTAGAGTCACTTTAGTGATAAGCTACCAAGCACTCCCCTTAATGTTGCTACAAGGAGAGCTGAAATAAGCTGGCCCGCTCGGTGTAATAAATACTGATGATTTCTATTAACAGAGAGGCAATTACTGGGCCCGGGGAATCTGGGGCACGCAGCCCTGGGGAGGACAGAAGAAGAGGAATCATTTTGATAATTAAATGAGAGCAGAAAAACGCTTCAGCTGGGTTCTGTCCCCTGGACTGATTTAGAAGCTGCTCTTCTTCCTGTGCACACTAATGGTTTCTTTCTGCCCATAACGTCCTTGTCTGGCCCTGGGACCAGGAAGAGGAAATCCTACAAACCCTAGGTGAGGCAGCCAGAGAGCTCCGTTAGCTGGCGGGCTTGCAGTGATACCCAGACTCTGAACTTGCACGAGGCTGCCCCACGCGCTCTGCCTCGCCCCTCAGCCCGCAGCTCCTGACAGGCGCCCCCAGCAGCCCGAGTCTTACAGCCGCTGGAGGAGAGTGGAGCAAACCACTGGCAGCCCATTGCTGCATCTGGTCCCCAGCCCTGGCACCTCTCCAACCTCAGGAGCCACCATCTTGTTCCATCCAGGTGGCAGTTTGCCCAGGGTCTCCCGCAGCCCTGCCATACTGTGGCCTCCGGGCCTGACGGATGGAGCTGCCCTGTTAAGCCTCATAGAGCAGTTAGCCCTGTCGCAGACACCCAGCCTGTGCCCAGCCTCAGTATTTTAAGTCTTCAAGGTGCCTGCACGTGCCAGGTACATACATACATTGTATCACTTAATCTTTACAGTATCACTGCCAAGAAGATATTCTTGTCCTAATTTTAGGATAAAACACTGGGCCTCTGAAGATGCAGACAAGAAAGGATAAGAGCGGGATAAGAAGTCCCCTCTGAGGGACTAACTAACTTGTCCAAAGTTACTGGTAAGGATAGTTGGTAAGGTAAGGATAGTTGTCTGAGCCTCAGTGCTGTGCTCTTTCAGTTGTCATTCACGGTCTTCCTTCTGGAGAGATGGCATTTATTTAGGAACCAAGGACACCTCTCTGCCAATTCCGTTCTAGAGAAGACACAGACCTACGAGATTACTGAAATCATCATATAAAAATGTAATGTAAGTTCACCAGTGTCTTTCTGTCTGCTCTGTACAGACCAGGAGAAAATTGATTTCCACAGGATCTAGGTTAGATCAACCACGGAGATAAAATTAACACTTTTTGTTCCTCTGCCCTTAAAATAGAATCATTACTTTCATAATCCAGCCACCTAGCCTCCTGTCTAAAGAAAAAACCCTTCCTCCATCTTGACAAGTTGCCCCTTACTTCGGAGAAGCAGAACAGGAAGGGTCGGTGGGGATCCTCCCACCCTCAGGTGGGGGCCCTCCTGGCTGTGCTGCAGGGAGGGTGTCACACTCACTGCTGAAATGAAAACTTGACCAGAGCCACTCCGATGGCAAGTTTCTGCCAAGAATTCTATGTCTGAGCTTTCATGGGTGATACCAGGCCTCTTACAGGGTGCCGCCGCCTCCTCTTTACTGCCATTCTAGCTTCTTGTGGCCAAATTTAAGTAGAGTATGTTAGAACTGGGTGATTTTCATGACTGACTGTTCCCAACTCTGAGCTCTTTCAGAAATGGGCACAAGTGTCTGGAAGAGCATGTGAAATCATATTCTTCCATAAGGTTTTTTAAGAATAATAGAGGCTTTATTCACTAAGATTGAGTTAGTGTGAGTCATGTCCCAGAGAGGGGACAGGATGACCCCAGAGGCCTAACAACCAAGAATGCCATGGTCCTGACTCAGTCACACTCAGGATGTCCTCTAGGGTGGCAGAAGACAAAAGCCTACTTCGTTTGTATCTGGAGGTGGAACACGTGGGGACTAGACAAAGGTGGCCGGATGTTACTACTTCCAAGAACCAGTGAGTAGTCTAATTTCCAAAAGTCCTTTTCTGGGCAGAGCAGTGATCTTAGGGTAAAGCTTTGACGGTATTGAACTGATGCAAGTCAAGTTTGATGGTGGGTCTATATGAACACATGAATGAATGATAAGGAATGAAAACTCATCCCCTCTCTAAGAAAAACACTGTTAGCCATGTCCTAGCAGTAAGATATTTGGGCCATCTCCCTAAAATAAGATGGAAGTAGTATTTCTAGAGGTATGTATTATTGTCCTCATTTTGCAAACGAGGAAACTAAGGTTTGGGGAGGTTAAGTAAGTCACAGAGAAAATAAGAAGCAAAGCTGGGGTCCTCAACCAAGACTGAAGCTCTTTCCACAAGGGTGAGAAATTGAAAATACAACTTTAGAAGTAAACTAGATTCTTTTGACTGTCACCCAATGTAGAGTGGGGCTGGCGATGTCCGAAGCGTAGCTGTCGAGACCTGAGTTTTTATTCTACCTCCCGGCTCCATTAATGGCCCAGTCGTATGGGCACGGATGTCATGGGGATGGGAAGAGGACAGGAGGGGACGGACTACAGCTTGGTAAAATGGAAGATCTGAGGAACAGGAGACTACTGTCTGTGTCACTTTTCTTTGTCCTCGTTCCCTCCTCTTTTTGTCATGCAACTTGTTATCTTGCATACAACTCCCAAGGGCAGGCTCACAGGGAGAAGGACATAATGTGAGATAGAAAAAAACTGGAGAAGTTCCAGGGAGGGTGTCGGTGTGGCTGCCTGCTTGTATGTTCATGCTGGTACAGACGCGAGATTTCTCGCTGTCATGCAAGTCCCGCTCCTCAGGGGTTGCTGAGCCTCACATGCCAGAGACAAGAAGCAAACATTCCAGCTGCCCTCGCCCCTGTGGTCTGGCAGTGCATTCGTCTGTATCTGTTGCATTCGGAACAGTTTGGAGAATTGCTCTTTTCGTGTGAGAGACTGGATTGGGATCATTCCAGGTGTTACTTACTGGAACGATGTGGCGTCTCATCGGGGTTACTCCCAGTTCTTTCCCTGTTCAAACCAGCCAGTCTGGTCACAAGAGGCTGTTTCCCTCTAACTCCAACACCTGCCTTCACTCAGAGGCCAGCTCTGAGGTGTCTGGAAGATGCAGGTGAACAGCTCGACCAGGGCAACCTGGCTGGCACTGCCCACCTCCCTCATCCTTTTGCTGTGACCAGAGGGACACCAGTCAGTGGGTCAACTCTAGCAACTATGTCATGGCCTCTGACCCCTTCTCCTTCTGCCCATTTCAGTTCTTGGATCACCCAAATCTTCTTCTCCATGGTTCCCTAACAAGAAACGACTTCTTTTTTGTTCTAACTTCCCATACCCTTGTTTCTAATGAGCAAAGTTTAAATCCATCAACATCAGAAAAAATAGTAAAATGTTAAGTTTTTTAAAAAAAGAATTTGTATTAAGTTCAACAAACTCAACTAACTAGTAGCAGCTATAATAATATTAACAACACAGCCACCAGCATTTGTGGGGTGCCTACTAAGCATAACCTATAAGGTAGCTAACATTATCAACCCTCATTTTACAGTGAGGAGCTGAAACACAGAGAAATTAAGGGACCTGGCCGCAGTCGTGCAGTGAGTGGCACAGCCAGACCTGGACCGAGCGGTTTGACCAGAGCCTATGGCTGTGGCTCCAGTGGGGCTGCTCTCCTGCCCCTCACTGCCCGCATGAGCCAGGGGGGAGAAGCAGAGGGGGGCCCTTCCCCGCCTGCCCCCTCCCCTCCCCGCTCCTTCCCTCGCTTGGCCCCCCCCCCCCCCCCTTCCCCCCCCCCCCCACCACCACCCGCCCCTCCATCCTTCCACCTTCCTTCCCTACTTTCTCCCTCTTGTGTCACACTATCCACTACCCTCCTGCGGGCCCAACCCTTCATTTCCATTCCTCTAGCTGTTCTTTCCGGGCCTCTCCTCTATCCCAGCAAGCATTCTCAGCCTCTTCCCTGCCTCTGCCCCACCTCTGCCTTCCCCACTCGCGTTTGTGCGCATACATACTTCCCCACCGCAGCCAGACTGGCCCCTCTGCCCCACCTCGTGGTCTTACACTTCCATCCGATACACGTTTCTGTTCTGCACCACCACAGATACAGTCAGGTCTCCACCCTGCAGTCTCTTTCTCAGCCCACAGTTTTAGGACTTCCTTGGGTCCTGTCTGCACCGTGAGCAGAAGGCCCGCAGAGCCCACCTTCCCTTTGAGGCCGGCTGCCTCCGTCCCCCTCCTCTCCCAGGCACTCCCCGCAAAGGCAGCCTGCCCTGACTCGCACCTGCCAAGCCTGCCAGGCTAGCCCTGGGGCCTCCTGGTAGGAGCAGCGTGTGCGCAGTGCCTGGTACTCAGATATGAATAACCACCACCAAGCGCCGATGACAGGACAGGCAGGAGGAAATCCAGCCCTGTGCCTTCGCAGTGTCTACGTTCCGGTTATTTTTAAACAGCTTTTTGTTGTGCCCATGGGTTGAATGACATTGTGCTTGCAGCTAAGTGTCTGGATCATGACAGGCCCTGAGGAAAGGACAATAATAACAATACATTAATTAGAAATGTTTGTAAAACATATACTTAGTTTGTCCCTGGACCCAGATGCTCACACTTGTAACCCTGACTCTGAGAGGCAGTTTTAAGGCAAAACTGCATTTTTCCTGAGGCAAGGCTCATGAGGCCCTGCACAGGCCTCACTGTCCTTAGGACCAATGAGGCTGAAAATCTGTGCCAAGGAGGCAAAGCTCGAAGGTGGAGAGACCAAGAGAGCTGCCCACAAGCTGATCTGGCCCAGCAGCCATGGCCCCGACTCGCATGCCCCATGCCAGGTGTCCGGCCCTGACTCCATGGCACCACCTGGGCTGTGGCCCAGGAGACTGACCAGCATCATGGCATGATTTTCTGGCCACCTCAACACACTCACACCCTCTCACACCTTATCGTTCACGCAGCCTGACAGAACAGACCCTCACCCGACGCCCTATCAGGAAGGAAGCCCCTCTGAGAGAGCACAGTCGTTCAGCCATCCTTGTCCTCATGGGGCTCGTTTTCCCACATGAGGGGACTGTGACCTATAGCGTCTGCTGTACCTTCTCCCCACCTTGCTCAACAGAGCCTCAAGCCCGGTGTTTACAGACTGATGGTGACAGTGACCTTGCTGTTGGTTCAGACACCTCAGGGCTGAGGCGCCCTGTCAGGCTACCCGGTGCCTCCTGGCAGCAGCAGCGTGCGTGCGCAGTGCCTGGTGCTCAGATATTAATAACTGTTCCACTCATCCACTTGCTTCTTATCTTCTTCAGCTCAACTTCCCTGAGGGGTCTAGTGTCATATGACCATCATCACGATAACTGCCTCTCTCTCTCTTTCTCTTTAATAACAGCTTTTTGATATATAGTTCTCATGTCACAAAACTCACCCTTTTAAAGTGTACAATTCAGTGGTTTTTAGTATATTCACAGAGCCAAAAGACCACAACATATGACCTTTTATAACTGGCTTCTTTCCCTTGGCATAATGTTTTAAATGTTCATTGATGTCGTAGCAGGTATCATGTTTCATTCCTTTTTACAGCTGAGTAATATCCCATTGTACTATAATGTACTACTTGTTTATTCATTTATCCATCGACGGACATTCTCCACTGGAGAATGGATTGGATTGTTTCCACTGCTGAGCTGTTAGAATGGTGCTACTATTAACATTCATGTACCGGTTTCTGTGTGGACATATATTTTTAATTCTCTCAGGTACATACCTAGGAGTGGAATTGCTGGGTCATATGGTAACTCTGTATAACAATCTGAAGAACTTCCAAATGTGTTTTCAAAGTGACTGTACCATTTTACAGTCCCACCAGCAATGCATGAGGCTTTGCCATTCTCTTTGGATGTTCACAACAACCTTCTAAGGTTGGTATCATTATAACTTAGTTTACAGATAAGGGCACTGAGGCTCAGTTTGTCACCTGCCTGTAGTCACATAGCTGGCAAGTGGCAAGGCTGGGACTCAGACTGTAGTCTTGTGGTTCCAAATGACACGCTCTTCCCTCTGTGACCTAGTGCCAGGTATTAACCCTGCATCACCTATGAGCAATAGTCTTTCTCTCCCCTGCACCTCTATGTCAGCACCCCCCCAGTGAGAAGTCTTTCTGTGTTGCAGGATGTGTCAGGAAATGCTGCATTTCTGGCCTTCACTCCTTTTGGGTTTGTTGTTCTTCAAGGAAACAAGAGGGTCCACTTCATTAAATGGTGAGTGTCTTCATTTTCAAAACCAGCTTCTTATATTTTACCAACTGGGGAGGGGCTATGGTTCCCACGTCCTTTGTCTGTGATTGGGTAATTATGGTTCGGAACCCTCTCCAAAGCCTTGTGTTGATAATGGTAACTGACAAAGGGAGTGGTCTCTTCCTGGGGATCCTGTTCTTCCAAAAGGGTGTCCCTGAGAGCCAACAGCCTCTCCAGCGAGAGAAGGGGTATGGAGGTTTGATTTCTAGGGAGGATGAGAGACCTGGGACTGGAGCCAATGTTAGGGAAGCAAAGTTCCCATGAGTACTGAGTCCTTGGGGCCATCACCCACAGAGGGCCATAGCTAGCCCTGTTGAGCCGATTATTCTGGAGCACCTCTGTGGCTGGCCCAATCCCCTTAACCCACTGTGCTAACAAGGGAGGGGCTCACTGACAATGACCCCTGGGCAGCTATAAGGCACCCTGTGACTCTGGCAAAACGGCTTCCTTAGACTAAGCCCCACTGTGGGCATTTTGTCTGCAAGAGCTCAGACGCTGCTGTCTCACTCCTATTCCTCTTTAGGGCATAAGTATCTTCAGCCTCTAGGAGTTACATTCCTACTCTTTCTTCCTTCCCTCCCCTCTCCACTCCTGCTTCTAACAGGCAAGAGCCACTGCCTCAGCTGCAGCTATGCTGAACCACTCCCTCTCCTGCCCAGTCTTTGCTTTTGGGGTCTGTTCTGCTGCATGGCCCTGGGCACAAACTCTGATTTGTTGGTTGACATTTCGCTATCCTGGAGGCTCTTTTGCTGGCCAGCCCATGCAAACATCTGTCAGTCTCATCAGAACATTTTGCATGTCCTACTAAGCCCCTGTGATTTCTGTACCTTCTTGGGTCTCAGACTGCCAAGTCTAAGCTGGTCAGTTCCTCCCATGGGCCTAGATAAGTGGCTTCCCTTGGTCCAGCAGAGCTCAGCAGAGGAAGCCTGCTCCCTGTCTAGGTTCCTTTGCCATCTCCAGAAGAGCTACTGAAGAGTCTGAGTGCAGAGTTGCTTCCTAGTAAGCTTTCTTCTGAAGGCGCTGCAGGCCATCCATCCTCCTATGCCCTCTTTTGCTCTCCCACTGAGCTATGGACAGATACCACCTTTTCAACCCATATTGCTCTTGTGAAGAATGGCAACATGGTGGTCAACCAGAGTGCTGGTGAAACTGCTCCTCAGAAATGCAGAGCCAGGTCCCATTCCCCAGGTCAATAGCATGTCACAAGGCAGCCTGCTGCTTTGGAGTTACCAGTATACCCTCAACACACCTGCTTCCTAGGCTTCTTCAAGTTGGCCCACTTCATTGTGCTGTCTAGGTGAGGATCTCCTGTCTAACAGAACACTTTTCAGAAAAAGACAATGAGCAGGATCAGGCCACAGCCCTCCCAGCGTGGAGCATTTGGTGCCTGCACATGTCTAGGCTACTTGATGTTCCCTAGAGGGCCCAGATCCTGGGTCACATGCTGACCAGAGTGGTAATCCCACAAGGTCCCTGTTAGGGGGCTGGTTTAGCTACAAACAAGTAGGATGCACCTGTTAGACACCTGCAGTCTCCAAATTGTCCCTACCCCTCCAGAAGCCATGATGCTTCCCTGGTTCTCCCAGGCCCTTTTCTTTTTACGGCTTCTCTCACGTGCCACTTCTTCACAAAGCCTCCTCTTCACCAGGTCTCAACTTTGTAATAATAGATGTAAACCCAATCTCAGCTCCGTACTTTCCTATCTTGCTTTTTGGAGCCTAGATGGTCTGTGTGCTTGTCTACATATTAACCAATTGACATTTATTGTGTTCTGTGTACGAATGAGAGGTTGATGATTGATTGGTTGCGGGAGAAGATGAGAGGGAATCGGACAGGAAAGGAATAGGCCACGGCTTGTATTAGCTCAGAACTGGTGGTCAGAAGTTGTGAACCCTTGTCCTGACCCAGCCATGATTTCCAGGATCACAGAGAACAAGTGATCTTCCTCTGTCCCCTAAATTTTGTCCAGCAGCAAATTGGGCACATGGTTCTCACTACCTTTCTACTGCTTCCTAGCATATGGAGTAAATGTCCCTACGAGTTACAAAGAGAAAGAAGCCAAGCGGAGGCAGATGTGCACAACCAGACCTCCTTGGGGGTCCCTGTTGGGTAGAAAAATATGGCCTCCAGTGACGTGGAGAAGCCTTGAGGCTGCAGCTGTGTTGGGCAGATAGAAGGAAAGGGAGTGACTGATGATGCTGAGGCCTAGGTCTCTGGCTCTCAGGGACACCCACCTAAGACCCTGGTAATTTTTCCATTTTGCAAATGTAACCAAGGCTGAGAAAGGTATATGGAGGTGAGGTCTAGGCCGTGCCATGTACAGTAACCATGTCACTTCTTCTGATTTGTGTCTGTCCCACGGGTGACATACCCCAGTATCCTGTTTGCCTCTTTTACTGCAGCCATTCACTGGGCTGGTGGCTTCAAGGATTTTTCTACAATAACCCCTAAGCCCCTTTCCTGGTCAGTACGCTGCATGACTGTTCCATGTAATTTGTTCTCTCTCTTTGGTATGTTGCCCCGCCCCCCTCCCTGAGATTGTCTGACATTTGTCTGCATTAAACTGCATTTTCCATCCCGTGGCACAGTCACCTGAAAGACTCAACTCCCTCAGAACCTGGTTGCATTGTTTCTCATTATTTGCTGTATCTTGAACTTTGGCCTCATCAGCTACCTGTGGCATCTTATGTTTGATAGTCCCATCCAGATAATGCACCTGTGTTATGAACCAAATCCTGAAATGACCCACACTCTACCTAGACTCACTTTCCATGCACATGTTTCCCTTTTACAGCCACTGTTGATGAGCCCGAAATCCTATCACCCTATTATTATAGTGTGATTGACCAGAAAACTGTGGATTGAACTGTTCCAACAACTGTTCTCTAAGGCCACTGCGCTGCTGTCTTGTTTTAGTTCTAATTTTGGCTAAAATTGTGTGTGTGCCTGGAGCCCCTTCCAGTCGGGTTGGGCTGTGCATCTAAGAATTGGCTGTGAACAAGCAGCCCACATGAGGTGACAGGCACTCTCTTTGTCCTTCTAGGAATGAGGTGACCAAGCTGAAATTTGAAGGAAAGACTTTCTATTTATATGTAAGTCAGAAAGAGGTGAGTGCTGCCTTCTTTCTCTTCAAGGAGGGCTGGGGTGATGGGATGGTTCCTGGCCAGGGCTAAGTCTAAGGGGTCGAGGTAGAGCTAAGCCACCTGCATACTAAGCCAAGACCAAGGTCAAGACCTAGAAGTGAGGTATGAAGGAGTAGGAAGGCCCTGGAGCACAGGACTTCCTCAGGGATGCTGATGACACCCAGAGCTTCCACCTGAGATCTCTACCTCCAGGAAATGCAGTCAAAGTAAAATTCTTTTTTTTCTATATGGAAATTCCAGACGTGAGTGCCACTTTCTCACCAAGGGCTCTCCTGGTTCAGTTTGTGCCAGCTGAGACTTACTAATTGGACTTGTGACATGTGAGATGAACTGATCTCTGCCGCAGTGGGTCCTGCAGGCCTTCTCTCCCAACTAACTAGCTGCCAGGGACCCTCCAACAGCTCAGGGGCCAGGGTCCTGGGCTACTTAACCCTTCGCTTCTCTATCCACACTCAGCCATTTCTATGTGGAATTTTCTGCAGGAAAAGAAAATTATTCTCACATATTTTGCTCCAACTCCAGAAGCCTGCAAGCACCTCTGGAAATGTGGAATCGAGAACCAAGCTTTCTACAAGTGAGTGGACACGTGCAACAGGAACCATGTTTATCAGAGCCAAAGTCACAAAGGCTACTTTAGAGGAATGATGGGCAGGCAAACTTTGAGAAACTTTGAGAAAGAAGACCTGAGATGACAAGGCTGGGCTTCCTAGTAAAACTCAGACCTTTTCTGGGTCTCTGTCCGTACCCCCTGGTGGTACAGAGCCGAAGTCTGGGAATGTGGTTCAGCTGAGTTGTCCAAGGCGTCTGCCTTGAGATGTCCTTGGAGAGCTCCCAGAAGTAGAGCATTTCTGGTTTTTTAGGGGTAAGGTTTGGGCCAAAAAAAGCCAATGGGTGCCTTGCTTGAATCAAGCTGTCCTTAGGGAGCCATTCAGAGCCTTGGGAAGCCTAGGACACAACAGCTCCACAAAGGACCAACTTCAACCCAGAGGAGCTCCCTGGCCTCTGGGCCCCAGCCCTAAGCCTTGGAGAGACTCTGGGGTCTGCTTCCTGGTCGGTGGCCGGTGCTGATCTGGAGTTGCTGCCAGCCCTTCCTGGTGTGTCACTGCCAAAGTGGTTGCCAGTGACAGGCCAAGTGCCCAGGAGCATGGGGTGGGGTAGCTGGAGGTGGGCAAGGGCTTGACTGTTACTGAGAAGCCAGGTTGGAGCCAAAGGAAAGAACTTTGCTTACCAAATGATTTTGTAAAGTATGTGAGGCTTTTTCTGTTCAGTTTGCTTTTGTTAAGAAAGTGGTTATACAAAGCATTAGGAAGCAAAGAAATGACCCATCGAGAAACAGGGATGATGCCAAGTAAAGAATGTTTCACTAAACCCCTTGGTTTTGTTTTAAAAATAGAACGTAATGATGTATGCTTTAGCAAGATGTACCTTAATAAGAACAAGGCAAGACAGAGTGTGTGGTATATCCAACCCAAGGTGAGCCCTACTGTCACCAAATGTCCCTGACAGGCTATGTCCCCCTCCAGTAACCTGAAGGATCCCAGAGAGATCAGAATTGCTCTGGGCTGTGGCTCCACCCTCTTCCCCACTGAACAGACTCTGCCACCTCCTGGCTGCTGAGGATGCTGGCCACGGAACCGGTCTCCTCCCAGTCACCAGGGCCACAGCCCCAGCCCCAGCCCCAGCCCCAGCCGCTGTTTCTCCCACAGGCTCTGAATTGCTTAATACTCAATATGCATTTATACCAGAATCAGGGATGAACTGAATGGGCAGGCAGAATTCTAACCTGAGTGGGCTTCTTTATTCTCCTGAAGAAGAGAGACTTTGGCATGGTCAAATGTCCCTCCTGTTCAGTCCCTGCTGTCCAGGAAAGTCAGGGAAACCTTTCTTTTGTTACCACCTTTCCTTTGCCTGTGAGGACAGAGCCCAGGTTTGGCCAGTTACACGAACCTGGAGAGAAGCAGCTTCAGATGCAAACTCCTGCTTGTGGGACAGAGGAGCAGCCCAGGAAAGATGGGGTCCCGTGCGTCTCCCCAGCAGAGAGAGGAAGGCACTAGCAGACAGAGGCCTGCTCCACACTCAGCTGTCACTGCCGTGGGTGTGGTATATTTGGAAGCATTCTCTTTCTCTTTGCCAAAGGGTCTAAGACAAATGCAGGTGATCTCCATGTCTCTTGTCTCTTCATGCCTCCAGTGCCATTTTTAAGGGCTTTGTTTTTCCATCTGTGTCATGGGGACAGAATGCTCTGAACCTGTGACCAGACTCAGTTTCCGAGTCTTTCCACTAGTAGATCTCCACACCTACCCAGCCCTGCCAGCACCCACACTGGAAACTGAGATCATTTTTCAGTTTCCTGTTGCCTCCTTTATGTTCTAATTGTTAAAAGCCTCTAGCCTGAGTCCGATCCCCAGTTAATGCCAAATCTCTGGCAGAAGCCACTCTGGCCTTGCTCTCAGCATCTCTCGTGCACAGATCCCTAGTCCTGCCTTTGGCAATGCCCGGACAGGAGCTGAGTCAGGCTTGAGAACATGCTCAGGCAGGAGGGAAGGTGGGTTCAGACCTCACAGAGCACCAAGATAGGTAGGGATGGTGTCACCCAGGAACTGCTCATGGATTTTGGGGACAGCTTCTACTCACTGTGCGCTCATAGCAAAGGTGTCAGACCCAGATGGGTTCCTGACTGGGTTAGTACTGTAGGCACCTGGGTGTGTTACAGGTGAGCTGGGTTTGGGGAGACTTGTCTCTGGGCAGCTCTGTCCAAGGTTCCATTTCTAAATGTGAGACAGCTAATGGGATCAGTGAAGTCACCCAGGAGGATGTTTTACAGTTCCCATGACCTTCCAAAGTCTCCACGACAGCTGTCTGTAGCCTTGAAAGTGATGTTGTGTAGGCATGCTCAGGGAGGGAGGAAAGCTCCAAGTTCAAATACATGATGGAACTTTTAATGTTAAGCTAGTTTCTTCATTGCAGGACTTCTCAGTCTTAACTATGATAATGCATTTTAGGACTATCCAACAGGGAGATGGAACAGGAAGGGTACAATTACCTAGACCATGGACACGAAGTCCAAATACTAGGACTAGAAGGGACCCCTGAGGTCCAGTAGGGCCAGCTCCATCACTTTATAGATAAGAAAACTGAAGTTTAGAAAGGGAAAGAAATTTGCCCAAGGTCACACTGCTAATCAGTGGCCTGGCTGAGATTAGATGGGTGGCATTCTATAATTCCCCCAGACCATCATCCCTAACACTTACTGTCTCAGTCCCCTGGCGAACCACATGAGGCATACTGGGGACCCTTCTCTCTCCTAACATTATAATGGGTTTCCACATGACTGTCCTGGGCACTAAAGCCAGGAGGGCAGTTGGCTGTGAACACAGCCCTCAGATCCTGAATGGGAGTCGGAAACAACGGTGGGCTATGAAAGTCTTCTTCCTGAATAGTTTCCTCAAGTAGCCTTTGGAAGGAGCTGGGAAGGTGCTGCTTTAGCCTGTGCAAGGCAGTTTCAGGCCATCTGTCACACTAGACTTTGCCTTGCTGCAGGCTGGAGAAGTCAAGCCAAGTCCGCACAGTGTCCAGCAGCAATTTATTCTTTAAAGGGAGCCGGTTCCGATACAGGTAAATAGTGACAGTAAGTAACCATTATGGATCTATTTTCAGACCCTTCTCTGGAGAACAGTCACTCAGTGGTCCTTATCCTTGAGAACTAAGAAACTGGGGAACTCTCAGAAAAGCCTGAGGTTTCCATCCAATTCTCTAGTCCTGTAACCCTTTTACTATTTCTTTCCTTCCCTACAGCTGGTTGTCTGTAGGCCTTTTGTTTGTTTTTCGTGTTTGAGACAGGGTTTCACTCTGTCACCCAGGCTAGAGTGCAGTGGCGTCATCACAGCTCACTGCAACCTCAAATTCCTGGGCTCAAGCGGTCCTCCTGCCTCAGCCTCCCGAGTAGCTGGGACTACAGGCATGCGCCACCATGCCTGGCTCATTTTTCTATTTTTTTACAGAGATGGGGTCTTGCTCAGGCTAGTCTTGAACTCCTGGCCTCAAGCAATCTTCCCACCTTGGCCTCCCAAAGTGTTAGGCTTACAGGCGTGAGCCACTGCACCCGGCCTGTCCCTAGGGTTTTCAATGTGTATCTTCTCCTTCCCTTACAACAGTAGCAAAATAAGAACTATAACAGTGATTCTTTTCATGTCTCACTGTCTAAAGGTTGTTTTTTTTCCTCCCATGATGTTACTGGAACATGCTGAACAATGAGGAATCATTCCTGAATGAGAATGGAAGATCCCAAAGACTCCAGAGATGGAGAGCTCTCTAAGATAGGATGTCACAACATTTTAGAACTCTTTACCCCAGCCAGCAAGCCTTTCTCAGTGACCAAAACATTGGGGAAGGGGTGGGCCAAAGATCCATTTCCTGATTCAGCCAAAGCATCTGAGATCTTGGAGAGGAGCCCACTCCTGGAACACTGTCTCATTTCTTGCTGCTTATTTTTATTATACTACTGACAGTGGCCGAGTTGCAAAGGAAGTAATGGAGTCAAGTGCCAAGATCAAGCGGGAGCCACCAGAAATACACAGGTAGGCTGCCAGGGGCTTCCCCCGCAACCAGGTCCAGCTCAGATCCCAGAATCTCAAAAGACCCAGCAGTTTGAGTACTGTGAAGCTCCTGGCCACAACAGCTACCAAAAGGGGCAGAATAGGGCAGGAAGGTGAACAAACCTGTCTCAGCTGAAGGTTTGGGGAGAAGTCTTTGACCCTTGATGGAGAATGAGGGAGGGCCGCTACCAGATAGCAGTTCTCTTCTGCCCTCCAGAGTCTTGACTTTGATCATAGACCATGGAGGATGTGTCTAAGCAGCAATATTTCATTGGTTCTGGAATCAGTCCATTATAGGAAGCCAGGAATAGCCCCGTAGCCCCACACTGGGTCTAAAATAGTTTCAGGATCCATGCTTCTTGTATATCCATAAATCATGCATTTCCAGAAAGCTATCTCCTAGAACCTGATAAGACCCAGAAAGAATATGATCGGCCAAGAAGGCTGATTTGCCAACCAGCCTTTGCCTCTGGGAATGGGAGCATCACTGCCTGCCCCTTCACACAGAGCCCCTCACACAGTAGCCTCTGCTGCAAGTTAGGGGAGGCTGCTCGTCTTAGTCCCCAGGCACATTTTCAGTACTGCTCATCCTGGGGCTCTACTCCCTGACAGTCCTGCCCCCAAACTCCAACAAGTGGCACTGCTGTGCACTAAAGAAAGGTTCAGGTGGGTCTAGGATATTACAAGGTGGAAGAGTTTGAAGCAGTGTCTCTGACTGGGATCCAGGGACCAAAGGCAAAGAGAAAGTATTAAAGATAAAAAAAAAAAAAAAAAAAAAAAAGGACCAAAACTTAAAACAAGAGTTGAATACTGGCTGCTAGAATTGTCTGGTTAAGTACCTGCCGAATTTGTCTGTGCACTGAGTCAACAAAGTTCTCTTTTTCTTCAACCTCAGAGCAGGGATGGTTCCCAGCCGGAGTTGTCCCTCCATAACCCATGGCCCAAGGCTAAGCAGCGTACCCAGGACCCGCAGAAGAGCTGTTCACATCTCCATCATGGAAGGTGAGCATGAGCTTCTGGAGATGACCACTGGGTTCCTCCAAGTTGTGACTTGGCCAAGATCTTTCTCAGGGATCTTGAAAAGAGACTAATTTTCATTAGGGACAACAGCAAGTTTCTCAGGGGTAGAGCCTCCAGCAGCAGGTAGGTGGTTTACCCACTGGATGGGAAGACCAGTTGGGTGTGAGGTGAGGGGCATCCCACCTAGGCCTGCTGCGCTGTAGTCCAGCACAGGGGTCCTGGGTTAGTCCTTTGGATCTACCAGGTTTCACAAAGTTCTGAAATTGCTTTCCAGCAAGAGGCTTTTCACTTGTTTTCCAGATCTGACCAATCTCCACAGCTTAAATGATCAGGATAGCTGAGACAGTTAACCAAGAAATGAAAATTCCTGGTTCTGAAGCATTCCAATAGCTGTCGCCACCTACCACTTCAGTTGTAGAAATCTGTCCTGAATTCCTTACCGCTGTCTCAGGAAATCCAGTATGATCCATCTGTCTCCACCCGTTCCCTCCCACCCTTCCCAAAAGTGGGAAGACAGAAATTCTGTGTATCTTCACTGAACTAGATAACCCAATAGCGGGTTCCCTCTATTCTCTGGGTAGTTAGCACTGTTAGGAGGTACTCTCAGAATATTGCCTTCTAGCTGCTGTCACTCACCCAGCTCTCCAGCAGGCTGGATATGGGTGTAAAGCTAAGTGCTTTCATTCCTGAAGATGATGTTTTTCTAAGACCGAAGAAGACCTCAAACAGAAGGAGACAGCAGCAGGTTTTCTTGAAACCTGTTGCTGTCTCCTGGGATTAATGGGGTGGAAGCTGAGGAGGAAAGGCCTTTTGCCCTTTCTGTGGGCATGCTGCTTATTAATGAAAATGAAGAATTGCTCAAGTTAGGAAGGACATTGCTCTGCTCTTCCCCTGGGGGGATCCCTGGTTTGTGTTTGGGTTTTAGGATGTGTCACTATGAGTGAGTGTGAGACTCCACATTATCTGAGTCTGGTATATAACTCCAGACAGGCTAGGGGTTGAGAACCCTGGCTAGACAACCACCATCAAGTTTCTTAATTATTTGAGTATCTTACTTGTGCATTTGTAAAATAGAGACATCTTCCTTGCCCACCCCACTGGCTGCAAGGAAGCTAAATGTGCAGAAGTACTTTAAAGAGACTAAAGCATTCACTAGGCAGGCAGCAAACACAGTGCGAAGAGCCCTGGTCAGGAAGTCAAAGACAAGATTCAAATAGGAGTCCTGCCATGCACTTTCTGGGGCAGGTCACTTAACCTTTCTGAGCCTACTGCCCCACTGCAGAATGGAGCTGGGTGTGAGAGACCACCTTTGTGAACTCCTAGGTGTAATCGCTCCGAGAAGCGATTCCTCTCCATGGAATTATGGAGAGCCGAGTATCATCAGACACAGCCTCCTGGTTTTCCTCCCATCTTAGGCTGAGCTAGAGAACTGAGCTTGGCTTGCGCTGTCCCTCTTCTTTTGGGATGTACATCTCAGGACAGTAGAATGAATTTATTCTCCTCCTCTGAGGAAACAACTTTCTCCCCTCTCTATGGCCCTTCTTCCTATCCATCCTGAGGCTGATGCCAGTGGATTCACCCTAAGGCTTCTACAGAAAGTGGGGACAGCTGTCTTCCCAAAGGCTCACCCTGGGAAGGCAGCACTCGTGCAGGGTATAAAATAGGACAGAAGCCTCATGCATGTGTAATTCCCAGAATATGGAAGAATGTCCAGCAAAACCAGCATCTCCAGGTGAGGGAAGGCTGAGGCTGTATGGGGATATAACTCATGTGGAGTCACTGCCAAGTAGCATGAGCAGAATGACTCAGAGATGGGGAACACAATCCTCCTGTTCCCCTGAGACATGCCTAGCCTGCCTCAGTCCCAACCCAGCTCTGGCCTTACCACCAACCTGAGCCTAGCTTCCCACTGCAGCAGCAGGTTCCTCATCCAAACTACTCACCCTGCGTGCAGACACCAGGGGAGGATGAGTGGGGAGAGGGCACGTCAAAATCTCAGCCTCGTGGAATTTCATGCTTGGCAGGTTATGGCCCAGCAGGCTCCAGGTGCTACTCACCCAGCCACCCTGCTCCTCATGCCTGTGCCCAAGGCTGCCAGCAGGCAAGCACAGCGTATGGCCCTCAGCCCAGGACCCAGCAAATTCAGGAGGGGACAGGTAGAAGCAGCTAAGAACTGACCTAGTAGGAATGAACCTCACAGGCTCAGGGTGAGGAGAGGGTGATGGACATCTGGTTTGGATATGGGAAAAATAAAAGATTTTAGCTACTAAGTATCAGGGAAGGGGTTACCAAGCCTGTGTAAATAAAGAATAGATCAATTTCCAGGAGGCAGAAGTTCAGGTACATCATCTTTTAAGAGAAGGTTTTGCCTTTAAAAGTCCTAACAAACACAGCTGACCCTAACTGTCCACCCAAGGGGGCGGGGGTGTCATGAGGGCCCTAGAGGAAAGGCACGACCAACCAGAGTCCCAAGGAATTTATGGACATTTGAAATTGGTTCATGCTCCATCAAAGACTGTCTTTCCCGCAGTCCATAAAGCCCTTAAGTTAGTGTCACAGAAACCACCTCCTTGCACTTGCAGAGCCACCCAGCCAAAAGCTAGTGTAGACTGTGCGACCTGTTGGCACCAGGGCAGGCCTGTACCAGGTGTGGCCTGGATAAAGCCCAGCGTCTTTGTAACTTTACAACCTGGATTTTCTGGGACAGTCTTGATTCTCCCCACCCTCTGGAATCCTTTGCTGACCTCTCTGTCCCTCACCCTCTGAGAGGTTGGGCCCCTTATCCAGGCCTCAGGGAAAGGGCTGCAGGCTAGGGAAGCATTACTTTTTATGGCTCTAAGTGCTTCTGACTGAATCCAGTGCACTGATAACGCAGCCTCTCGGAGCTGCTCCTTCCTTGCAGTCCAGCCTGATCTGAGGCTTGGAGAGCCAGCCTTCTCTCTCCAGCGCAGGAGGCACTGCTGAAGGGCTGCCATGGCATGGAGTCAGCGGAAATCCTTTGTCCCTAGTAGGCTTTCCACCCTTTCCCTCTCCACATCTCCCCTGCCTGGCTGGTTTCTCTGAAGAGATCAGCTGGTTTCCACTGAAGAAGTATCTGCCTGCCTGGGCCACCATGGGGAAGAGTCTGATTAAGATTCACACCAGAGTCCACGTCCAGCTCCGGTTGACTAATCACTGCTCTCGGCACCTAAGTGTGCGCATCCTCAGGATGGGGCCCCGGCTCCAGGGTAGGGTCCTGACTACTATGCCCCTCTGCCCTCTGGGAGCCACCCCTGGCCATGGGAGTCAGCTGGAGCGCCTCCAAGGTAAAAAAGACTGTGTTCGGTTTTGCTGCCACTTAGCCTAGATCCTTCCCACCGCACCCACCCCAGCCAGCCCAGAAAAACAGCTTGAGGAAGGGGTAGGGCAGGTGTGGTTTCTCCATAGTGAAAACTTAATTTCTTGTACAGGACTAACCTGGCATGGAATGCTAACCTTACAGGTGAGGTTTTCTGTCGAGAGAGCGGTCGCACTAATGTTTACTGAATAATTGTATTTGCCAGGCATTCTGCTAGAAATGCATACCTGTCCACTGTCTTGTTTACTGAGAGCACCAACAACTCCCGATATGATGTGGCTTCTGGTGACTCTGCCTTGTTTTCTTCAGTGTCTGCCTCTCTCCTTCCCCTGCAAGCTGAGGGCTGAATTGTAGGCTAAGCTAAGCTTGCACTGAAGTGGCCGCTGGCAGCTAAGCGGGTCACGCTTTGGAAGATCTGGCAGTCAGAGCTGTCCTTGTGAAGGGGCAGGCCTTTGAAAGGGTAGCAGGTACCCTATGCAATGGGCTGAGGTTCCAGAGAAAGGGGGCAGAGGTGTGCTTGGGAAAGGAGCCAAGCCAGCAACACTGCGACTAGGGCCTTAAAGGTTCTGTTTTATTGGTGACCTATAACATACTCTGAGGTACTTACGTGCAAATAGGAGCGTCAGGGAGGAATACTGGGTAATAGCAAGGTTAAAGAAATATCAAGAGCTCTAGGACAAGGGACAGGGGCTCTTAATTTCACATACTTTCACAACAGTTTCTTGGGCAATTGAGACCTGAATCTAAGGCAGATGCAGGCTGTTGACTTAATCCATCCTGGCCATGGTTCCATTCCCTGGAACACAGCTATAGTAAGTCCTCACTTAACATCATTGATACGTTCTTGGAAACTGCAACTTTAAGCAAAGCAACAAAATGAAACCACTTTTTTTCCCTCGTCAACATTATAAAGAAATGACATTGAAGAAATCAGTGTTATTCAAGGACCTGCTACACATCATTTCATTTAAGGTCACATTTTCCAAGAACCTTTTGAGAACCTTAAGTGAGGACTTCTATATATGATCAGTAGCACCTTGAACTAGAAAGAGGCTTGGATTCCATCCTTGGCTTTGCCTTTAACAACCAACCACATGACTTCAGGCAAGTTCTGTAACCTCTCGCCCTCACTACTTCATGGAGTTGTTGAAAGATAAAATGAAAGTGCTTTAAAAAGTTTAAAACATTAACCAAATTTAAGATTTTAGCCTAGGGACAAACAAAATACAGCTAGGACCATGAGGAGCTTCTGAAAGCAGAGGTTGAGAGCTGTGGCAAATGTACCAGTGGTGAGGTGATGGGGAGGACAAGTAGACAGCAGGTGCCCAGCCATCACCCAGCCCCACCTGTCCTCATTCAGAACCCAGATTTCAGGGTTTGTTCCTCTGGAGAATCCTTCACTGTGCCTGTGCCGAGACAGGTTCCACCAGGCTGGTCAGGTGCAAATGGCCAAGCCACAAGGGAGCCAAGGAAGAAACTATTTCTGAAAGGTTACTGGCACATTTTTAAAAGATATCTTTAGGCTGCTGGAACTAGCCCTTGTAGGGGTGGGGAACCTGCGGCCTCAAGGCCATATGTGGCCCCCCAGATCCCCAAGTGCAGCCCTTTGACCGAATCCAAACTTCACAGAACAAATCCCTTTATTAAAAGGATTTGTTCTGTAAAATTTGGATTCAGTCAAAAGGCTGCACTCAAGGATCCAGACTAACAGTCTGGGACCATCACGGTCTATTTCAGAGCAACAGAAGGGGACTGGCTTTTCCTATCATAGGTCACAAAGGCAGAGCCACACTGGCACCACCAAGATGGCCAGCAGTGGAAAATGTAGACATTTAACCTGAAACAAGAAGCTATTTCCTTGGGAGCACTGTGATGTGGGCCACACTCTGACCTTGACGGCTGCTGTTTAGTTGAGGGTATGACCAGCTCCTGTTTTTCCCTGCCAGAGCTTGAGCCCTGTGAGAGCCTTGGAAAGAAAGTTTCATCGGAGAAAGAAAAGAGATAATTGGGTAGTTTTGGGGTCCAGAATACCCTTTTTTTTTTTTTTTTTTTTGAGACAGAGTCTCACTCTTTCGCCCAGGCTAGCTAGAGTGCCGTGGCATCAGCCTAGCTCACAGCAACCTCAAACTCCTGGGCTCAAGCGATCCTTCTGCCTCAGCCTCCCAAGTAGCTGGGACTACAGGCATGCGCCACCATGCCCGGCTAATTTTTTCTATATATTTTTAGTTGGCCAATTAATTTCTTTCTAATTTTTAGTAGAGGCAGGGTCTCGCTCTTGCTCAGGCTGGTCTCGAACTCCTGAGCTCAAACAATCCGCCCGCCTCGGCCTCCCAGAGTGCTAGGATTACAGGCGTGAGCCACCACGCCCGGCCAGAATACCCTTTTTCTCCTAACACACGTAAGAGAGTTTCTCCCCTGACCCAACCATATCTTCTCAAGAGACTGCTTTGCGCTCAGGAGTGTCTAAAGATATGGGAGCTTTCAGCCTATTCTAAACCCAGCTCCTTCTCGGGTGAAAAGAGAGGGAGCTGGCCCAGGACTGCTCCCCTGTTCCCTCAGGAAGCGCTCGGGAAGAGCAGAGAGTTTCTACCATCCCACGAGGTCAGAACAGCTAGAACAGGGAGGCTGAAGACACCAAAAGCAACTGCAGAAATCCCAAAGATTTCACCTCATGAACTCAAGACGCCAAGTGCTGGGCTGTTAGGAGGACACTCAGTATTTGAAAATAGTATCTGATGAAGCCCAGTTAGGCAAAACACATTCTCCTTTTCCCAATTCCTACCTCTCAAGGCCCTCCACCCAAAAGGCAGACTTGAGACCTGAACCATGGTCCCACCTCTACATCAGGGACAGTCTGCAATTCAGATTCTCTTTCAAATTGGGGCTAAAATGAGCCCCAGCACACCAAAGGCAGGAAAGGTAGACTCTTTAACAAATTAAGCCAAAACTATAAGCAAAAAGGAAAAAAAAAAATCTTCCAAAATGACTCCTCTGATTTCTGCTGCTTCTCGTATCCTATTCTTGATATATCAAAATAGAGTACAGGGCCCGGCCGGGTACAGTGGCTCATACCTGTAGTTCGAGCACTTTGGGAGGCCAAGGAAGGAGGATCACTTGAGCCCAAAAGTTTGAGACCAACCTGGGCAACATGGTGAGACTCTCTCTAAAAAAAAAAAAAAAATTAAAAGCATTAGCCAGGCATGGTGGCGTGCACCTGGATAGCCTGAACCCAGAAGGTTACAGTGAGCTATGACTGCATCACTGCACTCCTGCCTGGGCAACGGAGTGAGATCCTAACTCTAAAAAAACAAACAGAAAAGAGTGCTGCAGCCAAGGCTGGTCACACGGATGTGCAGAGGGGCACCTGACAAAACAGAATGCATGTTACTGAACAGCAGAGGATATGTTGGGACACAAAAAGCCTACTTATGTCCCTTTTGCCTTTCCAGGCCTAGAGTCCCTACGGGACAGTGCCCATTCCACCCCGGTACGTTCCTCTTCCCATGGGGACACCTTCCTGCCTCATGTGAGAAGCAGTCGGGCAGACAGCAACGAGCGAGTAGCTGTGATTGCAGATGAGGCCTACAGCCCTGCGGACAGCGTGCTGCCCACCCCTGTGGCCGAGCACAGCCTGGAGCTGATGCTGCTTTCCCGGCAGATCAATGGAGCCACCTGCAGCATCGAGGAGGAGAAGGAGTCTGATGCCAGCACCCCAAATGCTGCAGAAGTGGAGGCCCTTGGGGGAGAGCTGAGGGCCCTCTGTCAGGGGCACAGCGGGCCAGAGGAGGAACAGGTGAATAAGTTTGTTTTAAGTGTCCTCCGTTTGCTCCTTGTGACCATGGGACTCCTCTTTGTTTTGCTCCTTCTCCTGATCATCCTTACCGAGTCTGACCTTGACATTGCCTTTTTCCGCGATATCCGCCAGACCCCCGAGTTTGAACAATTCCACTATCAATACTTTTGTCCCCTCAGGCAATGGTTTGCCTGCAAAATCCGCTCAGTGGTGAGCCTGCTCATTGACACCTGAGAAGGCATGACTCCTCCCAATAACTAGCCAGGTGGACCAAGGAGCCCGGCTACCCATTCCCAGCAATGGGACCCATCGCGGAACCATCGGCACATATACCAAGTCCTCCTCTCATGACAAAAATTACACTGCAGCCTAGGAGGTTGTCTCCCAGAAGAAGAAAGGGATAGGCTCATGCCCTGTCTAAACAAACTGGGAAAACTCGTTTTCTTCAGAAGTTCTTTCAAGAAAGGCTCAGCGACTCTGTTTCTCATCCTTCCAATTTGCAGGATAATTTTTGGTTTTGAATTTTGATTTATTTTGAAAGTATCAAATAAAAATAATTTATTTTACTATTACTGATTATTGCAATAGTGTCACCTAGCAGATGGGACACTAGTTGAAGACTAGAGAGCCGCTGTCTGTCCTCTATATTCTGCAGGAGCTTTCCTACTGGTGCTGCTGGGTTCCAGTAGAGTCATCACTGCAGCCTCAGCGGGGCAGGCCAGGGGTCTGGGCAATGGGGACTGTTTAGGTTTTTTTGCCAGACAGACTTTTTTAAAAAAAAGTAAACATCCATGCAGAATGATTAAATGGAAAGTTGCTTCTTATGATGGTCTGAGTTGGATTTTCTTTTCCTTTTGTTTTTTCAAATCTGAGCAGAGTGGGCATCTGAAGGGACCACCGCTACAGCAGCAGCAGCAGCAGGGGTGGGGTAAGTCTGTCCCCTTAGACTAGAGCCTAGTGGGCATCACCTTAGTTTTGTATAATGAACTTAGACTTCTGTGATTTTTTTCCTGAAGAAACTCAAGACTTTTTATAGTGCTCCAAGGATGTTAAATGAATTCAGTGGTGCCAGAGAGATAGTACTGTCAGAAGTGTTGGACAAAGAATAGCTAACAGAAACAAGATATAAGTTACCTGAGAGACTGTTGAGATTCAGAGAGCTGTGCTTATTTTGTACACAACCTCTCCCCAGACTATTTCAATTTATATTTTAACAAAATGTTATTTTCTTATCAATTCATACTTTATTTTTTACTTTACGGATTAAGAAAATAGAACCTGATGAACTAAACGATGCAAGAAAGAAACTGATCCTGAGAATGAAAAGCTTCAGAAAATAGAATTCCAAGATCAACAAGCAGCCTTAGAAGGGAACAGGAAAAGAATCTCTTTAAATAGGATTTCTAAGAGATGCCTACAAAAGACAGAAGGTGAATATGGCAGAGACCAACACTTAGATGTAGAAATGCTGCCCCCTAAGGTCATCCTCTGCATCAGGAAAATAAGTTCTAGAAAAGCACCTGCCATCCTTGCTGAGGGAAGCCCTGGAGGCATGCAGAAGCACAGGCACGTGAAGGGTGAGTGTGATCCTGGGCCTGAGCGCTTCAACTTTTAAAACCAATGACACACAAGATCTTGTTTTCATCTCAGGGAGCGATTTCTAAGTCATCTGGGGCCTGAAGGCTTAAGGATGATCAATGGACATATTCCTGGAACCTACACAATAGTGAAGCAGCTGCTGACACCCTATGATGTTGAACAGCCCATGTGCAGAACAGAATAAGTCATTTGATCTCCCCTATTTTGTTCCCCTGAGATGGTAGAACCATGTCCATGTTTGGAATATAACAGCTGTGAAATAATTGGGTGTTTTTTTTTTTTTTTTGGAGGGGAGGGGTTGCAAATTTTAAAGACACCCTTTCATCTAGCCCAGAGGTTGGCAAACTTCTGTAAATTGCCAGACAGTAAATAATTTGGTTTTGTGGGCCATATTCAGTCACAACTACTCAACTCTGCCATCATAGCACAAAAACAGCCATATAATACATAAATGAAGCAGCATGGCTGTGTTCCAATAATACTTTGTAAAAATAGACAGTGAGCTGAATTTGGCCCACAGGCCATAAATATGCCAACCCTGATCTAGATAATAAAACTGATCCTTACCAGTATGTTAGCAGAAGAGAGTCAGCTGTGCTCCCATCCTAACATGTGTCAAAGATCTGGGACCATTTCCCAGAGGAGGCACTGGGGTTGCTTGTTTAAAGGGTGCTCGAACAACCAACCAGCAAAGAGATATCTGATGCCAAGATGAACAAGATCAAACACTGGAATGCTAAAATGCAGCTGGAATCTAAGAATGGAAGAGGGCCTCTCTGACCATTTCCATACCAGCAACAATTTGGGCAGAATTACAAACATCTATCTACCAAGTGACAAAACAAACTGAAGAAGATCCTAGTAAAGATTAGGGATCACTTGAAACCAACTAGCCACTGCCACTTGTCATCTATATAGCAAAGGCTTTATTTAGCACAGGACTAAAATGAAAAGTAGACCCACAGAAGAAAAGGCTGTCAGGAGACAGGGGGCTGGTATTAACCTGGATATTTACTGTCTTATGCAACATAGCAGATACCTTTTAGTGTAGTGCTCCTACCTCAGTCTGTAGAATAATGGTGTTTCTATGCAGTGAGTGATAGCCTCGACTCTGATCTTTCACATTCACATTAGAGACAGATGCAGTATTCCATTTCTGGTATGTTACTTGTGTCTAGCGTTCTAACAGTACAGTAGTCCATACCATTTCCAACAGCTGAATTTTGCTCTCTGAACAGAAACTTTTGGGATATTTGTTTTTTTCCAGGGCTCATCCCAGAAAATATGGACAGGAAAGTTTCCCTCAATTTGCTTTTCAAATAGTGCTTGAATAACAAACCTCCTTTGTTGGTGACTGGTCTTTTTTAGTATCTCCCCATCATTAAAAATTGTTCAAGTTTTTAACCTGGTTTTACTGTGTTCTACTATGTCTCTCATTTTCTCTTGAAATTAAGTTTTATTTCATTGTAGAAAAAGCAATGGTTTCCACAGCTTCATGTACCAGAGGAAATAAAATTCTTACTAAAGAATAGTTGTACTGCATCTTTTAAGCAGTAGAGGGTAAACTACCTGCAAATGTGAATTTCTTAGTTTCATTTAAAAATATATAGTTGTTAACCTTTCGTGTGCCAAAAACTCTTTAAGTTACATTTTCCTTCAAAGCAATGTACTTTTTTCTACATATGCAGTATGTAGTTAGCATAAAATCATTGGTGCCATGAAGATTATTTTTAAACTTAAATAAATATTTAAATATCATGGAAGACTGGGCTCTTTCTTTTTTAACTTATACCTGTCTCACTTTTTTCCCCTTAAAGTTACCAACACGTAGATAAAAGGATACCAGTGGGATTCACATAGCTGACTGCTGTTCACGACTGGGATCATATAATGATCATTTTTGGTCATGGACTTCCTATAGTCTAAAATAGAAAAGAAAATGATCATTTTGCTTATATCCATCTATTATCTTTGTCCCTCCCCCCAAAATAACTACTACTAGAAATGAAAAGCTATAAATGTGGCATAATTTTAGAGATGAATTGGACCTTATTTTTCTGAGGAAAACCAAGAAGGTTAAGTGATTTTCCCATAGTATTAGAGCCCAAACTATAACCTAGGCAGCCCAGCTTCTAGCTTACTAAAGCATGAAGTGAGAGAACAGAAAACACTTCCTATGAAGGAAACAGAATGATATCACCACCACAGTAATAAACCACATATTTATAATTTACAAAATATATCCCCATAACATCATCTCATCTGATTGATTGTGTAACCATCACTCTGTGGCTATGGAATTGGTAATAGTCTGCTAAATTCCATGAGGATAAGAGGTGACACTGGGGGCCTGGCCCACTGTGCAAGCTGCTTACCTAATCTTCCTGTTCTTAGTTCTGCCTGCCCTACACTCCCCTATGCTGCTGCCAGATCATCTTCCTAAATAGCAATCAGGTTATGTCACTTACCTCCAAGTTCTCAGAGGTTTCCTCTACCTATAAAATTATATCTCCAGTGCCATATTCCCACTGGAGTGTTTGTTTTTATGACAAAAGTCTTGTTTGAAGTGATCTGAAAAGTAAAAAGCATAAGAACCACTGGACTTGGGTGGCTTCCCATGGCCCTACAGATTCACAGCCACCTCCCTTCAGCTGATACCCAAACGAGAACTGCCTACACATACACCCCTGGTAGGACTCTAGCCCCCACTCCCTCTGCCTTGGGTTCCTCCAGCATAATCAAGCCTCTCTGCACCTGAACATACTTTTGGTTTTAGTTCATGAACAGGCTTCCTCTACAGACCCCTACAACTCGCTGAAGGAGTACAGTAAGACAGGCAAAGCACACTTTTAATACATTTCCTCTTGCACAGCTTCCATTTTGGGAAAATGTACCATAAAATGTTTTATAGGCAAATGAGCCAGAATACAGTTTACACTATCTTGGAACTAAAACTCATTTCCAGCCCTCAGTGACGTACTATAAACCGGGGGGTGGGAGAGGGTTGCGGGAGAATGTACTAAGTCAGAAGGGACAGCCTTACCAGGCACAATGGTGCGCACCTGTAATTCCAGCTACTCAGGAGGCTGAGACGAGAGGATTGCTTGAGCCTGTGAGTTCAAGACCAGCCTGAGCAACATAGCAAGATCCTGTCTTAAAAAAAAAAAAAGAAGGGACAGCCTAACAAACAGGACATCTAAGTTTCTAGAATATGAAGTTAGAGGGTGTATATTTCTTCCTCTCAGTTTGATAGAGAAGGCATGTGTGTCTTTCCCCAACCCTATCCCATGTACTATATGCTGGCTGAAAGGATTTAAATATTTGTATCCACAGCCCTAAGGCTCCCTGCTTTCCTGGAAAACTCCTTTTATAAAGAGGAAACTGAAAGGCCAGAATATTAAAACAAGACTTAGGCAACTCAGATTCTATTACTTTCTAATAATTTGCAGTCTGGCCTAGTCCAACCAAGTCTCTGTCCACCCAAAATGAGAATTGTCTGTCTGCTCCTTCCTTAAAGTCACATAATCAAAGGCTGGGCATGTCAAAAAAATAAATAAATAACTCGAGCGGAATTCAGAGCTTATGTGCTTAAAAGATATCACAAAGGCCAAACTTACAGAAAAGGTTTATCCTGAAGGGAACAATCATAATACATACATAATTACAGAAGCTACACAGCTGTAATCGAGTCTCTGGGAGAAGTACATTTCACTACAGATTACAGTGTAAGAATGTCCCAAGGGAGACAATTTCCCTTTATGTGCTTTCTAGATTTAAACAATTACTCCATTATAAAGCTTATCACCAAGAAACAAGTCACTACTCGTTCTCCTTAACTTCCTGCATTGCCTAAAGAAGATATAACTCTATTAAGTAAAATTGGATATAAATAGCACAGTTTATGAAGCTACAATGGCAAAAGAAACCACAAAAGTGAGAAACATCAAGAATTTGCTAACACTTATTGCAGAGGCCAGGCAATTACCGCCAAGTATTCAATGCTTAAATAATGGTACTAATTTGATTAAGAGTAGTTTTCTGCATCTTAAAAAGAACAATTCCCACCTACACACTTATAACTTGACTCAAACTGTACAAAAGCAATTCATGTACCCAAACCATTTGTACCCCTGTAATATTCTGAAATTAAAAAAAAAAAAAATTCCCACAGAACCACTCAAGAACCTGTGAAATTAATCGGTATAAAAAAAGGGAAAGGGAGCCTAAAGCCTTCCTTTACAGTGTTTCATGAATGGTTTAAATATAACTCAACCTCACTTAAGTTTACCTTCCCTTTCTTAATGTTTTCATCTCACTTATCAATTCCTCTACTCATATCACGTAGAATATAGAGAACTCCTATTCCTTATAAACACCCTCAACCTATTAATAAATCAAGCCTCAAAACACTTAAATTTTAATTACAAAGAAGGAAATTATTTAAAAAACAAATTTTCTTCAAGGAAATTACACATCACTTTATTTCTGTGATATACAATTATGAGAAGGTATTTAATAATATCTTCTCTCAAACATATCGCCAGAGCTCTTTACAAGTCTTTCAGTAGTACTTTGACAATGAAGAACAATCAAAAAAATTGGATAGATGTCACACAGTAATATCAGTCACTGAGCAGCTCCCTTTCCCAACAACAGACATGACGAAATTACCGTAACTTCTGAAATCATTTTTATACAGAAATACCAAAAAGTGGTATTTCATAATATTTCTCCAAAATATGAGTTGGAATGAAGGTATTCACATAACAGGCTATTGACTCTCCTATGGAGAATTTAAAGACAGGGACAGATATGGGTGTCTGGGACATTCTAAGGTAGTAGCTTTCACTTATTTAGCCATGACCCACAGTGCAATAGTAATGAAAAAATACATTTTACATCAGACTACACATAAATATGTATACCTACAAATATATGTGCATATGTAACTGAGTTTTACAAAATAATACTTACTCTAATTATGTTTTCTGTTCTTTACTAATTCTTTCCTTTTCATTTTTTTAAACACTAGTCATTAAACTGATTTCCTGTGAAGAGCTACAACCCATAGTCTGGAAAACAGTGAGGACAATCTTCACTGGACTATCCCTATATAGGAATCAAGGTAGATCCAAGCCCTGTGCCTAGGAGCCCCGGGATTCCCGGATGTGTTTCAGGAACCACGTAGAAGAGGGGGAAAGGAAAGGCTCAACATACTCAGACTCAGGCCCGGCCCCAGGTAAAACAAAGCTTCTCAGCAGTTACTTTGGGATTTCACATAAGATTTACCTTAGAGGCAGGAGGCAAAAAGGTTAAAAAAAATTAAAAGGTTCAAAAATCAGTGAGTTAGATGATCTTTCAAGGATTCCTTCCAGTGTGTGAGTCTAGAAATAAATATTCATTCCAAACTACAAAATGAACCACAAATCCATATATTACTATAGAATCAAAACCATATCATTAGACCACAAAAACTTTTAATACTGATCATTCAAAACTTTATAATGTTAGAATTTCTCAACATACTGTCTGATTAAAAGTGAAGGCACCTCAGCCTTCCCTCAAATTCCCTCCCCATCCTGTAGAAACATCCTCCAAGACTTCCCTCTTACTAAAAGGACATTCTACTCATAGTTCTTATTAATAAAGCAATTTTGTATTTGCTAAGTACAGCATATTACTAAGTAAACACACTAAGCCACATGAATCACTAGTTCCCTTAGACAGTGATCAATTTGAACAAACTGGTTCCTAAACCAAAAACTCAGTTTTTTTCACTCATAAAAACATGTATCTTCCCGCTGGAATTACCTCCAGCCATGATATACTGAGTCGGGTGCACAGCATTGATGGAACACACAGAAGCAAGGCATTCTCCACCAAGAAAAGAATGTACCCTCTTTCCTGTCTCATGGAAGATTTCTACCCGTCGTGGATAGGCCATGCTGCCAATCATGAAACAGTCTTCTTGTTTAGGATCCCACACAGCTTGGAACCTGGTCAGCCATCGCCCAGTGATAGTGTTGTGCCTAGTGGAAAAAAAAAAAAACAA